AAAAATGGCAAGCTGGACATAAGTGTACCACTGCTGTAATACATGAATGATAACAAGCCTCCAGTCACTAGGGGGCAGCAACTCATACAGTGGTTTGTACAGATAAAAATATACATTATCAGGTTCTCAATAGTATTTCAATTCGCGAGGGTGTAGGTTGGGGGTCACGGGGGGTAAAAATATTTTTTGTCCCCAAAAGAATTTCTGTCCCCAGGGGGGGACATGACAGAAAAGAATTAAGAACCACCGGGCTAAACATTCAAAACACGGCAGGAGCATTTTTCAATTTTCTGAAGTTTCAGCGCTAACGTAATTAACTGTAATGAAGTCAGTCTAAGATTCTCAGTTCCACAAATTTTAAATGTCATCGTTTTTCTTTTTTTCTGCTTATTCTACTACGTCCTGTAATGCTAAAAAACTTCTTGGCTGATGACATCTTAGCTTCAGCTTGTAAGGTGTGTGCTTCCTCTCGTGTTGTCTGACACAAGACAATAACTTGTGCCAAATGGTCGGTCACCGGTCAGGGCCCCTAGCCGGTCAATGAGTGCACCTGTAATTATAAACATTGTTAATGTTTAAACGCCCGACTTCAAGTGCCTTCTATCAGAGGAGGAAGTGTCTCTCGATGACTCCAGTGTCGGACTAATGATTGACACGTGAGAGTGACATGTCATCACGTTGCCTGGAAACATGAAAGAATGGGCCAAATAATTCCATTATTTGGCCTCACGCCCCAACTGTACTGAAAGGCACCATCAGACCTCATGTACAGTACGCACAGTGTCGTCTTCTTTAAATGATTTGGGTCTACATTATTTGTGCTGGCGCTGGTGGTTTTATTCACATAACAGTGGGAGACAATAAGGGAGAGTCATTGTGGAAAGAACAACAGCGGAGGAGACAAGGAGATTTATTTATAGCCGTCTAACCTCCACTCTCTCTCTTTCTCTTTCTCTCTCTCTCTCTCCTTTTTTTAATGACTCCAGCTTCTTGCTTCCTCACAGATCGGCCACTCTGCACACAAACTACTCCCTTTGAGATGTGAGTGTGTGTAAAGGTAAAGAGATTGAGAGATGAAAATTGTTTCAGGTCAGTTTAAAGAACAGGATTTTCCCAATACTTATTCCATGTCCTTGAGATGTGTGCGCCAAAGTGACTAAAATCAGTCATCAATATAATATATCAGAGATTTAAACATTTAAATGCAAAGACGCCAAATGCATCGAAATCCTCCTTGGAGATATCTAATGTGCACAACAGCATTTCAGCGCCCCCTGCAATTCTGCAAAAGAATAAGAGAGAGAAATCAATGGCTGAAAGGAGCAGATGGAAGTGACAGTTTTTTTCAAAATAAAATACTATGATGACTATGTAAAAAAAATTCAAATAACACACAATGATCTATGGCCTGATACTGGTCCGCAGCCCTGGGGTTGGGAACCCCCCTTGTTTTAGTGGACAGTTCCCGGGGCAGTGGTGACTTGGTGGTTAAAAAAGCGGACCTGGGACCGGAAGGTTTCAGGTTCGAGTCCACCAGGTGCCAAGTTCCCACTAAGGTGCTGGGTGCTTTAGCATTGTTCACTTTGGTGATGGGTCAACAGCAGAGGTCAAATTTCATTGTGTGCAGTGGTGTGCTGTGTCACAATGACAAAAAAAAAAAATCACTTTCTCTCCATGATCCAGTGACTGTACAGGATTGGAAAGGAGGGTAATGTCAGCTCCAGAAAACAGAAGCGAACGAATGTTAGAGAAAAAAAAATATTCCAATATTTATTTGTGGTATAAACATGTTGTTTCCATATACTGTACATTACATCGGATCGATCACATTTCCTTCACAAACTGCCTCGGTTTAACTCACACCCCTTGTGTTTGTACACTGACAGATTGCATCTTTTTTTTTTTCCTTTCTTTTTCTTTTTTTTTTTTTAAAGAAAATGTTTACAGCACAATACAAAACAGCTATACAACAAACATGTGTTTGAAGCTGTTAAACAATACAAGATGCATTGTCAAAAAATCCCTGAAAAATCCCTCACTGAGGTAAAACTTTTTTTCTTTTCTTAAATTTCATTCAGGTTTTCTTTCTTTTATTTGTGTTAAACGCCGCCGCCGTCCCCTCCGCCGCCCCCTTCTCCTCTCCATCTGCTCTCCTCAATTATGTCTTCACTCCTCCAGCACATTCTTACCAAAGATGTAGCTACAAGTTTAAGGACACGGAAACTGATGTTCCCATTAATCTGGCAAAGAATTAAAGTAGTAGTGAAAAAGAGTTGAGTTCCTCTTTTTCGTTATTACAAAGACACAAAAGCTCAAGCAGCTGGAAATCGACTGTTCCTTTTTTTTCTTCTTCTTCTTCTCTCTTTTTTTTATAATAGAAAAGCTCTGTTCTGAAAAGTATTTCAATCCCGGGGCTGCGAGTGATCACGTCCCCAGTGCTTTTCTTATTGTAAGTGGGACAGTACTTCAGACAGAGAAACGTCTATTCAAGCATGGTAGAATTATTTTTATCTCTGATGTTATAATAACAGAGCGACTTTGCATATAAATTCATTACATATATATATATATATACTTATATATTATTTATATATTCATATTCATATTAAAAGGCCACAGGAATAGCATAGAGCACATTATGTCAAAAAGACAGGAAAAAAAAAAAGACCTTGGTATTATTTAAGTCCATTTGGTGAACTGTGAGACGTTTAAATCACAACTTGGTCTGTGTGAAGCCTGTCAGTGTGTATGTGTGTGTGTGTGTGCTTGTGTTTTGGGCTCGCTATGCCATTTATTTTTTCCAACATTGTGAGGACTTTGCAGGTCCGCACGTCTTTTTTTGGGAGTTAGGATTAGATTTAAAGTGAGATAAGAGTTAGGGTTAGGATTGAGATTGAGATTAAGATTAGGCATAGATTTGCAACAGTAAAGAGAAGGGAATGTATTATCTCAATTTAAAGAGTTCACAAAACACAAAAACTAGTGTCTGTGCGTGCGTGTGTGTATTGTATGTGTTGTTGTTTTTTTTCCCAGGTTAATACTAGGCTCACGGGCTGTACATGTTTGACACCACAGGTGAAATGGAACTTTGAAATGCGACATTTCTTTGTACATAATACAAAAGACAACTTTAAAAACGCTGAGGTCTTGAATCTACAAAATACTGCAAAGAGAGGTGTTTTTTTTTTCTTTTTCTTTTTCTTTTCGTCGTCTTCTTCTTTCATGTATTGCAGAGTAACCAAGAGAACCTCATCTGACCCGTGCTGGTAAAAATGACAGCTCAGCCTCTGTCACAACTGTGTTCTGATTCAAACACCAAGGAACTTTTACACATTTTTACACGTTTTTTTAAAGTGACGTACAAAGAGTATTGGAACAGTCAGCATGAGAGAGAAGTTAGAAAGATTATATAAGGCCAGTACAAACCAACCCTGTTCAGATCCAACACTTGTTTCCCCTCTTAAACCCAGTGTTCTGTTTCTGCTTCGACCCCGTCCACATTTCTTTGTTCAAACAACGTCACTGTAGTCTGGGATATAACACTGGGCCACATGCAGAATCTTAAAAAAAAAAAAAAAAAAAGAAAAAAAGTTTTTCTTTTTTTTGGCCACTGTAACTTTTCATCATTTTTTTTCTTCTTCTTCGATGCAAATCAAACCGGCGAGTGAATGATGTCGACTTGTCGTACAAGTCATTAACAGTCTGACTTCTCCACGGATGGAGAAACATGTTTGACAAATGAGTTTGATGTTTCCTGAATTATAATAGAATAATGCATGACTCTAGGACTATTATAATGAGTTTTTTTGGGAGGGGGTAGGAAATTTCCCAGCTGCCTCAGTGTATGTATGCTGCTCACAGAGCTAAAAATAAAACACTGTTTTACCTTGGCTTTAACTCGTACATATCACATGTACAGTGGCAGTGTAGATGACCATAGGTTATGATTCTGGGTCGCACTACTTCCTGCCGTTTTGGTCTAGGAGTTTTCAACAAGGTCCTCAGTGGGGACCTCTGTCTAAGCTTTTGTGAATTTGTATATAAAGAAGAAAAAAAAAGATGATTCCTTGTAGTGGGATTTCTTCGTCAACGTAGATGTAATAATGTCATCCTTGGCATTTTTGTGCAGTTCGAAAGGGATTTTAAAGTCAAACCCTTCTGTAATATGTACAAAAATATTATGGCTGAAACGACTGGATTTTTTTTATGAAAAGGTTCTTACATGAGCCCAAGTGTGCCTACAGCTTGTCCTCCATCTGCTGCCAGGGTCTTTTGCACCGAAAAAGTCCTACGTTACAAAATTTGAGCAGCAGATGGACCAAAGTAATGTTTTCAACCTTGATTATAAAACTCTTTTTTTTTTTTTAAATAAGCTAATTGCCTTTCGTTGAAGTGCTATGAATGTGGACGGGTTCTGAGAACACTCCCTGACCACACGCCGAATGCTGCCCGTCTCTCGCGGCAGTTAAAAAAACAAACAACAGTCCTCACCATTCATTTTCCAGTTTTGGTTAAAAGCAACGTTCAACCTGTGGTTGTGTCAACAATAAGAGTGAAAACAGTACCACAGCATGCGCAGGTAAACAACAAAACGGAGATCTGTCCTCTACGGTGTTGGTTTGAATCGGTTCTTTTTTTTTTTTTCTTCTTCTAATTACATTGTTTTCTCAGATACAATTATCAGGGGGTTCAGCTAATAAATAGAAGTGCAGTCTGTAGCTGAGGTCGGTCCAATCCACAGCAGATTACCAAAGCTTTACACGGACACCCGGATTGCAACCATAACACCCCTGTCACGGTCTCTTTTTGGCATCTGTCTGGGACCTGCTGTGACCCAGAACCTCAAACGGGGTTCCCCTTCGGGTAAGAAAACCTTGCAGTAAGTTATGCAAGAGTGATGAGGCACTTTTTTTTTTTTTTTTTGCCCGAAGTTGCCATAATAAGCTGCCGAAAAATTTGCTCAGAGAGGTTGACTCCGTCTGAAAAACACCAACTTTCACCTCTGATTAAAGACTCCGCCTCAGGGTAAAATTTGGCGAAACATTCAAATAAGACAGGTGTGAAATATTGCCCAGTAGATTTAGGCAACTGTACTTTTTTTAACCAACGACTTAGAGTGTATTGCGGCTGAAAGGATTATTACAAACGATACAAAAAAAAAAACTTTTTAAAAAATGAGTCAACCGATGAACAGAGATTAAAAGGGAGAAGAAAAAAAAACTGGGAAGTTGCGCAATAAAGCAGGGCGTCAGCATTAAAGCCTGAAGCACCTTGACCCGTACCAAACCACCGTTTAACTCTAAAGCTTGTGCCTAGTCTTCGCCGCTGTCTATCTTGGCCTGCACTTTACTCTAAACCTGGTTTCCAGTCCAGATCTGAGCTCCTACTCCCTCCCTGACATGCAGGGCAGCTGTCTGGACTTGTCGCAGGCTGGGACTGGCCTCCTCTCCTCTTTAGTCAATGTCTCTTTATCTGCCTGCTTTCAGCACTGGCTCCAAGTGCCAACAAGTAAATGGCCACACCACTGTGCAAACCGCATTAGGTCATTACGAGCTGCGAACTGACAAACAGAACTTAAAAAGAAAAAAAAAAAATGAAAAAAAAAAAGACAAAGAAATTTCACAACCGTGTTCCTCTGTTGGTTTCGCCACGTCCATTCTCCGTCTGATAAACTTTTACAATCTCTTGAGCTATCCTTGGACTGGATAACTCGTGTTTTTGGGCAAAGATAAAGTTTCTATCTGTGAATATTTATGTAAGGTATAGATTTGTGCACGAGTACACAAAATATACAAAAATGCATATGGACACACTTGTTAAGGAACGACGATACGTGTCTTTATGTATGTCAACATACATACAGTGCAAACGTACATACACACGTGTATGTTGATTCCTTGTTTCGTTTTTGTTTTTCTCCCAAAAAAAAAAACTCTACATTCAGCAGAGCGAGATTTTCTACGAGGAAATCTCAGGTTCTCCACTTGGCACCAGTCAAGTCAGCTCAGGGGCTGAGACAGAGAGAGAGAGAGAGAGAGAGCGAGAGACAGAGGAAAAAACCTCTGGTCTCAAAAAAGAAGGGCTCTATACATCTCTCTGTTCCGGTCTTTGCGTGAAGCTCTCAACCGTTTCTCAGGTTCAGATAAGTCTCCTTTCTTGTTTTGTTCTCTTAAATGCGAGATCTTGCGGCTCTTCCTCAGAATTCAGTCTTCTCTGAGTTAAGAAAAACCCATTGCAAACCGGTCAGTTGCTCCATGTAGTATTAATGAGATATTAACTTTTGCTTCCCCTTTACCCTCGGCCCGCGTAACCTCTTCCTGTTCCTCCAACACTGCTCTGCGACTCAGACTCTCAGACACCGAGCCTCAGGAGGCTGAAACATTCATTAAAACTGGCGGCGTAAAGCTGACTCCAGTACAGCTGCTTGTTACCACGGTAACAACAAAACTGTAACCTCCCAAGTTTTGAGAAAAAACAGGAACGCCTCCCCCCCGTGCGGAATTTCATGTGGACTCCAGTGTGTCCAGCTGAAACACGTTGTGGTTGGTGGGGGTGGTGAAGAAGAGCTGGTCGTGCGTCGGCGAGGTGGCGTGGTTGTCGCAGGGGCTGTTCAGGCCAAGAGTTCGCTCAAAGTCCAGGAGCTGGCCCATGAAGTTGAAATTGGGAGAAATGTTCGACTTTTTCCTCTTGACAAAGTCGTAGGCGTCGTTGAGCGACAGGTTGAGCTTCTGCATCAGGTAGGCCACCGTCACGGTCACCGAGCGGCTTATTCCCGCCAGGCAGTGGACGAGGATGCCGCATTTTTTGGAGCGCGCCTCATCTGAATGTCAAAGGTTAATGAGAGAAGACAAAAAAAAAGACAGAACAGAATATTATTTTACTCCATGTTGAAATGCATAGACTGGTAGGAAAACGGTGTCGTCGTCAGCGAAATAAAATCTAGAAAAAAAGATTACACCCACTCTTATGAATGTTAAAATATTAAAAAACATCCATTCCAGTCCATTAAAAAAAAAAGGTGAACCTAAACACGATGCCGAATATTTGGCAAATAATTTCTCCTTCAACAAAATGAACATATTCTGACCAATGAACTGCCATTGAAGTTGGTGATTCTTTTCATAACTGTGATCAACAGATTCCATTGTGCTTAGGTCATTAGATAAATACTTTAAGTTTTCATTTTTAAGACATTTAAATGAGTCATAAATATGGATAAATACATTAAGTATCTTGGGTAACTGTGATCAACAGATTCCATCGTGCTTAGGTCATTAGATAAATACTTTAGAGGTAAATCAAAATAGATGGATAGATAGATAGAGATGGATGGATGGATGGATGGATGGATGGATAGATAGATAGATGGATAGATGGATAGAGGGATAGGGATGGATGGATGGATGGATGGATGATAGATAGATAGATAGATAGATACAAAGTGTTTTTTAAAGATACTAAAATTTAATAATAAATTAATTTCCTCAATGCGAATGTTTCTCAATGAAAACGTCTGGTTTCATTCTGTTTTCATGAAAATAAAATATGAATTAATGAAGGTCTTACATTATTAACCTGCTACATCCATCCTAACCTTTTCCAGTCTTTATACTTGAATCATTAAGAGAGAGAGAGAGAGCGAGAGAGAGCGAGAGAAAGAAACAGATACAGAGAGAGAGTTAAGTGCGTCTTTCCTTTCAGCCTCTCTCATCTCTCACACTGCCTCTCCTCACCGTCTCTGCCTGCATATCTCGTTGCAGGATTTGGGGTCAAATAGCTCCCAAGTTCAGCCTGTCCAGCAGAAGCCAAATTAAATTTATATGCGATGCGTGCTGGCACTTATGACAACAAAAAATGTCCAGAAGATTCTTAGCCTCACGAGAACAGACAGTTCGGGTACAGGTGCAGGGCAGTCTAACCGTTAGTTGACTATTCATGGTTGTATTTATTAATTCAGCTCCGTCTACGGTTGTTCACAAATGAAAAACCGCGGCCCGGTCTTTAACGCAAATATTCAAGGAATTCAATGCAAGAGGTCACATCTGGGTCTCTGTGCCTTGCCCATAATTACCCTGCTATTAAGTGCTGATGTAGTCCATGCTCATTACAGCCAATCAGGCTGCACCGCTTCACATGAGCCTGACCCCGGTGTGACATGACCTCTGGCTCTGCCATATGTCAGCCTTTCCTCACACCTCGGCCAAAGGACTCACCCAAAACAGATTAAAGGCGGATTAAATAGCGGAAATACTAAAGGAATATTAAGTGATTCACCCTTGAGTTGTTCTTGCCCGCGGCAGGGTGGTTACAAAAGGCTGCTTCGGACATGGACTGTATATAAGAAATGGATGCAGCTCTCTGTGGCCCTCGGTGAAATCGGAGGAAAAGGCTGGAATAGCTCCACTGGTTTTGTTGGTAACTGGAAGTACGCTAATGAAAGTACGTCACTGTGGTGTCAAAAGTTAGTTTAGGGAGTTTTTAATAAATCAAGAATGTTTTTCCCCCATCTATTTTACTCTCTCTCTCCATCCGTCCATCCATATATAAAGATATACAGATGCAATAATCCCTCTCCTATTGCGGTAGTTGCGTTCCAAGCCCAACCACAAAATGGGAAAAATCGCAAAGTAGAGGCGAGATAGTTATTATATTATTTACGTATATATTTACCCTTAACGAACTTCCCCCACATTGTTATCAACCCTCCCTAGACTGTATTACTATGTATTTCTTGAGTTGTAAAATGGCGACGCAGAGCGAAGTGAACGAGAGAGTGGTCAACAGACAAGGGGAGATGCTGAGAGATGCTACGATGCATGAGCCAATCAGTGTGAGGAACAGAAGAGCATGCTCATAGTAAGCCAATAGTACACCGAGTACGCACTGTATTAGCCAACAGTATGCTGTGTACGATCTCGGCTAGGTAAACAAAGCTACCAGCGATCGTTCGCAAATGCGCTTGTCTCAATTTCAAAATGAGAATCCACATTTTTAAAGTCAAAACTTTCGTACGTATAATTATTTTCTAATGTCTTTTAGTTTATTAGTCATTATATCTTTGACGAACGTGAAGCCGTGTCAACGATTATTTGATCAGGTTTTTAAACCCTAACAAAGTAACTATACTAAATATAAAATACTTTACCATTCATTTTACCTCGCACTATTTTCACTTCTTGCTAAAACTGAAATAACATTTGATGTAACTCCTTGGACTTGACTCAAACCAATAAACCAACCAATCAATCAATCAATCAAAAGACATTACTGGAATCTTACAATCAATGATTAAATGTAAGTAATATTTCACATTTTATGGAATAAACCATGAAATATCACTTACATATGAGTTCATGCTCATAGAAGAAACCAATAGTGAAAGTACTGCTGTTACTTTAAAGATCCCATGTGACCTTTGATGGTTTACGATATATCACAAGAAAATTTTTTTTTTTACTGGAATCCCTTCACTCACCAATAAATGAAATGGCCTCGGGGAAAAACTGTGAAAGGTTCTGGCTCCAGTGATCAGAAATCGGAATCTGTTTGTACTTGAAATCGCCCTCGTGTTCAAACATGTTGGGCAGGTTGGGCGTCACGTTGAGAATGTACTTGATATTGTACTGGCTGAGCATGTCTAGGTTAGCGGAGTCTTTGGCACATCCTAGGTAGAGGTACGGCAGGATCTGGACAGGGAATGCTGGCTGGTTGTTTGGGAGGGGGCTGCCCTCTGACTCGGTGGCGCTGCCTGGCTCGCGGTCCGATTCCCCGTCCGAGCAGTCAGAGCTGATGCGAAGTCCTCCCAGGCCTAAAACTGAGGCTGGTGGCGAGCTGCTGGGACAGGAGCAATCCAGGTTGGTCTCACAGTGCTCCGGGTACTCGGACTGAAACTTGTTGAAGCCCCCTGTGAGAGGAGGAGATCGACAAAAACAAGGAGAAAGAAAATGAGCCGTGGACTCGAACCTGAAACCTTCCGGACCCATGTCCACTTCCTTAACCACTAACCGACCATTTACATGCACAAATAAATACAGTGATCCCTCTCCTATCGCGGTAGTTGCGTTCCAAGACCCACCGCAAATTGGGGAAAATTGTGAAGTAGAGGCGAGATAGTTATGATATAATTTCCGTATATATTTACCCTTTACGATCCTCACCCACACTGTTATCAACCCTCCCTAGACTGTGTTACCCTTTCCCACACAATTATATCCACAGTAGAGTTGTAGAATGACGACGCAGAGCGAAGTGATCGAGTGTCCGACAGACAGGAGGACATGCTGAGAGATGCTACGACGCACGAGCCAATCAGCGTGAGGAACAGAAGAGCATGTTCAATCAGCCAATAGCACACCGAGTACGCATTGTATTAGCCAATAGTATGCTGTGTACGATCTCGTCTAGGTAAACAAAGCTACCAGCGATGGTTCGCAGATGCGCTTGTCTCAATTTCAAAACGAGAATCCACATTTTTAAAGCCAAAACTTTCGTAGGTTTAATTATTTATAATATATTTGGCGATATAGCGAAACATTTTGCGAGATCGGATTTTTAAAAAAATCCGATCTCGCAGAAAAAGGAGAACCACGATACAGAGAGGGAAACCACGATACAGAGAGGGAACATTTGTATTTGTTTTCATTTCCTTTTTTTTTCAGCATGTCCTGCTCTCCAAAAGTACCTGACATTTAGTGTTTTAATTTCCTTTTTTTTTCAGCATGTCATGCTCTCCAAAAGTACCTGACATTTAGTGACAGACGCATAGCACAACAAAGAATTCATGCTCTGTGCTATGTGACGCTACGCTGCCATACTGTCAACAAAGACAGTTATAGGCAATCAATCACACATTCAGTCACTAATCAATCACTGAACTCTGGATTTAAATGCATTGTTTCTTCTTGTGGGAGAATTTTTGAGTGTGTTGTATTTGATATATATAAAAAATGACATGAAAGAAAGTTAAATCTTTGTGCTAAATTCAGGCCTTAAGGCACTCAAAGCACCCCCTACAGGGGAGGATGGGTATTTACATTGGTAAAAAGTTAAAAGACTAAACTGCATACGTTTTTGCATGTTTAATTTTTTAATTTTTTATTCGTTTTAACCAACTCAAAATACAAAATGTAAGATTTAAATTAAAGATATTTACATGTCTTTACTTCAAATTTTGTAAATAAAATAGCAACGAGAAATATTATGTTATTTCCTTCTCCCTGCTCCTTTTTAAACACAAAACGTACAAGAATAGAGTTGTTTATATATAGAGTCATTAATATATATATATATATGAATATATATATAGTCAGTCTTATACTTAGGCTATCACATTTTTTATATTCTTTGTTATCACGTTTATTGCGATAGCCCGGACGCCATTTTTTGTGAATACATGACAACAACGTGACTCAAATGTCGTAATGAAACAGGCAGTCAGGCTTGACAGATGAGTTCCATTGAGAAAAGCAAAGCTGTGGGAGAATCAGCAGCGGAGCAGGACAGATAGTGTAACCGCGCAGCTCTCACTCTTTTCTGAATGGCAGCCTCGGATTGTGTGCGTCAAGACAACGGCAGAGAATTCAGTACCACCGAGTCCGTCACTTGTACGCGCACATATTTCCCTCCGTTCCAAGTATATTCTGCATCTTATGTACTTCTATAACCCTCTCGTTTCCAGCACGCTGCCGTGTGACTGTCGTGTATTGCACCATGTCTCCTCTCCTCCTTCTTCATTCATGAAAAAAAAAGTCTTATACTTAAAGGAACACACAACATGGCGGGGCTAGCTGTTGTTGTTGTTGTGTTGTTTTGTAATTTAATATGGGGAAAAAAATAAACATTACAGGGCTGTAATGTGAGCTGTGACTCCGTACTCTGTTCAAGGTGTTATTCTCAGTGAATGTATGACGCAGGCGGAAGTGGATATTTGTATTTTCTTACATCTCTGATAACAGAAGGTGTCAAACACCAAAGTTCACGATGACTTCACATTCTCTGCCTGTCTTACGACGCACACGTTATCGAAGCTGCCATCGGTGTTGCCGCCTCGATATTCACATAAAATGGTTGAAAAGAGGATGAAAAAAAAAACAAAAAACTTTATGGTGTGTAGTCTGATGATAACAGCTGGGGCTTTTATGGAGTTGGAGCCCACACTGTGACAAGGACGTGTCCTTTAATTCGAACATTTGTTACTGCGAGGTGATTGGATACTTCAGTTCTATGGGAATTTAACTAACGTTTTCAGGTATCGAGATTAAAACTGAAAACACAGCGTCATGTGTTTCGTCCCAATAAAAATAAATTAATATAGTTGTTTTAACTTAGTTATATATAATAGATTATTTTATTTGGGGTTTTTAAAGTGTAAATAGTGGGAAAATGTGAATGAGCAATACATTATTTATGTTGCGTTTTTGTTTATGGGTTCAACAAAACTGTTTGACTTTCTCTTTCTTTCTGGTTTCAAGATTTGAAAAAAAAAAAACAAATTAGTAACAACAACCTTACCCTCCAGAAAGAAAGCCTTGCCCCCGTCGTCCCGCAGCTTCTGCAGCAGGAGCCCCAACACGGAGCTCCCCAGCCCGGACTCCTGCCGCTCGGAGCCCGCCTCGTCGTACAGGACCACCACGTCTGTTTTGCACCGCTTGACAAATTTCTCCTTATCCTCGTTGTTGGGAATGATGGAGCGGATGGGGAGGTTGCCCTTTTTCAGCCTCCGCAGCATGAGGCCCGGGATGGCCAGGTTGATGGCCGACTCGATGTGCGAAGACTCGTACAGCTCATGGGCTCTGCAGTCCAGCAGCAGCAAGGAGCCGCCGGTCCCGGACTCCAGCTCCTCCTGCAGCCACTCCACGCTCTTACTCGGCATCATCATCATCAAAGTCACGGTCACGGAGCCTCTGCACGGATGATGAATTCTCATCAGGGAAACATTAATCCGCCGGCCCCCTGCCGAGACATGGGGAAACAACACAACCGGGCGAAAGGAAGGTGAACAGGAAAAAAAAAAAAAAAAGAAAAAATCACGGCACTAAACTTCCCTCGCCGCGGCCACTTCCACCTCCACCTCTAACAGCGCCGCCGCTCCTGCTGTTCCCGAGGGAGCGCTCAAACACGCACCCAGCGCACACTTCCACACACATCCAACACACGCAGCAATGCCTCTGTGGCTGCTGGAGCAGCGCAGCTGGACACGCAGAGGTGTCCTTTACAGGAGGGAAAGAAGAAGAAGAAGAACAAGGAGGAGAAAAAGTGCTGGAGCTTTTCACTCAAGTCCATCGACGTCCATTCACCGTGGCTCACTCCAACTTTGAGGCGTCCGCAGAAACAGCACGACAGCCCCGCACAAAGCTCCTCAGTGTGTCGGGCTGACCGCCTCCAGCACGGACCGGGGTCTGCTCCGGATAATGCCCATGACTGCTGTGCTTATTTCCACACGCTGGCCCGTCGTGCAGCTCGCCGGATTTCTCCTCTCCACTGGATGAGTTGGAGAGACGCTCTGCGGGGCTTGTCACTGAAGAGGAGGAGGCGGAGTGAGGAGGAAAGAGGAGGAGAGAGGCGGAGCGGAGAGATTTAAAGGTGCAGAGGTGCCGGAGATTCAAAGCCACACTGCTCTCACGGCGTCCATTCATCAACAGCCCACGAGCAGCCGTGTAACTGAGCTGTAGTGATGGCTTAAGCACGGGCGTAGATGGCACTGGGGACGGAGGGTCATGACCCCCTGAGGTGTAGTGACCCCGACATGCCCTTTTCACCCCCGTTTCCCACTGTCCCCACATAAGGCGACAAACATCACCGTTAAAGCAGAGTAATGTTCCGTGTGTGACAGGTCTGGGTGCTACACCTAGTGGTGCGTTCAGGTTGTACAAAAATGTGGGAATATACAGAGTTAAACTTAAGCATGGACATACTACTACTAATATATATATTATTATATATATAATATATAATACATATAAATAAAACTACAGGAATACAAATATTTGTATGTATATATTGAAATAAAATAAAATGTATAAAAGCTATTGAATAGTCAAAAAATCTGAGAATATGTAATATTGTATATATGTTATAAATATTCCCAATAGGTTAACAGTGTTAAATTATTATTATTATTTTTTAATAATAATATCTGTGACTGGAATCCAATGTTAGTGATGGTAAAATAGCCTCCTGTTTTATCTTATTTTTTTTATCAGATATTATTGATGATTTTATTTGTTTATTTCTGCTGCTGCTGCTTTTCAATGTTACTACTGCTGTTTTTAGTTGCATTTCATATTCATAATCAACTTTTATTTATTTAATTTTTTAAAAATGTATTTCAAAAACTACTTTGCTACAAAACAAGATTGTTATTCTATTTTGTACAGATGCAAATATGCTGAAGATTTTTTTTATTGTTGTATTTATACCCTCATTGTACTTGTAACTTGTGACACTTTTCCAAGTATACCTGAATCAAGTATTTTTGGGTCTGATTATCAATATACAATTTTGGACTTTTTTTTTTTTTCATTTTATGTCATTTTTATGAAGTGGATTGGATTGTCCAAGATGGGAAATATGTTTTGCTTCTCAGGGTCTTTGGGGTGAGGTCACACCCTAGACATGTATGGAGAAGATGTGGTCTGCACGCAAAAGACCGATGAGCTCCACACACACAGTAAATAAAATACAAATATTAATACGCACAGCATTTAGTTGCGCTGGATGGAACAAATGAATATTAACGCCTATTTCTTCTGCTTTTCAACAGATTCAGCAGCGACAGCAGCGTAGAAGGAAGACACCAGTCAAAGACTTCCACCTTTTTTTACATTAGGAAAATATTCTCCTATGCAGACAATACAAATATATATTTTTACATGCAGTTATTTCATTCAAATTACAGTATGTCAGCAAGGGGCAGCATAAATAAATACTTTTTTTTTTTTTTTTTATTTCATTCAAATTACAGTATGTCAGCAGGGGGCAGCTTAAATAAATACTTAAATACATTCTCTTTTGGCTTTTTTTTTTTTTTTAAATTTCTTTCCCCATGACGCGACACAATCTTGGGCTGCCCTACTGCACACATGTCAAACTAAGGCCCGGGGGCCAAATCAGGCCCGCATTGTAATTATATTTGGCCCGCGAGATCATATCAAATGTGTACTAGAGTTGGCCCACCAGTATGTAGCCGCTATATACTGGCAGAATTTGTAGTGTTAGCAGTGTATGCGCTATTTTATAGCATATATATTTTATCTTTTTTTGTTGTTGTTGTTGTTGTTGTTAGCCTGTGAGTTCATTAGAAAAGAACTCCAAAGGCTACATATAAAGAGACATAGTAAGAAACAAACACTACTCACTGATGTGAGTTTAATTTCTATTTTTTTACAACATTAACCTGTTGATCCAGATTCAGTGTTTACATAAAACTAAAGTTTGTTTCCATGTGAAATAAATTCTACATTACAGATCTGGAGTGAAGGGAAAACATGAACAATTGACATCAATTCTTCAATAAATATTCAGTTTGGCCTGAGACTTTTTTTGGGCCACAGTTTTTAAATTTGTCCCACTGTGAACTTGAGTTTGACACCCCTGCTCTACATGAGTGTGAAGTGTCAGATCCGATCGCACCCATTTGTAAACGTCGTCGCTGTACCTGCTGCACTGGCCGAGCCATCAGTGGGTCATCGCTAAGTTTCACCATCAATGACCTCATAGGGCATCAGCGGGTTGTGACAGAGGCTCAGACAGAGATGGGGGGCGGGGGGGGAGAGAGGAAAAGACTAGAGGAGTGTTTGATTTCCTCACAGCTGCAGAGAGGAGGACTGGGGGATGCACCAGCTGCAGACAATGACTCTTTATCCAGCGGCTTCTGCACAAACACACACACTCTCACCAACAAAATGCAGACACACAGACACGCGCACACACACATGCGCACACATAGGTTCACAACAGACACACTCAAACTTTGAGCCTCTTGTGTTTTCAACTCCCTTCATGGCCAACAACGAGCCCTCTGAGAGTGTGTAGTGTGTGCTCGTGTTTGTCGACGACTGCTTCCTAGTGGTAAACAAATCCATCATAGCCCGGTGTAAAACTCTGGCGATCATAAAGTGACTTTTTTAGGGGGGCGGGAGGGGAGGGGTACTCAGGCACAGTGGAATGATGAAGTGTCACGCACCAACCATCGGAATCATAAGAAGTCTCAAATCCTAGCCTCCACAATGAGACTTACTTTGTACGAAACAGCATTCTTGTACACAGTCTGGGGCTGATTCTGCCATTCAAATTATTCCAGTAGACAAATCATTAGTACCGTAACGTTCTAATAAAGCAGGTAATGATTAACCACCTCTAAACTGTCAAATAAAACGGATATATTTACATTGCATTTACTGAGGTGTGGCTAAAGGGCGTGGACTTTATGACCAGTTCGTTTAGAACCATCTGTTGATTTTACCGACAAGTGTATTAAACACTGTTGACGCTCAGCTTCACTTGTCTTCTTTGGGGAAGACGAGGCTGGCAGTCTATAAGCAGCATTTTTTTCTTTTTTCTCTGTATCATTAACAGGTTAGTTAGGGTTAGGGTTAGTGTTAAGGTTAGGGGTTAGCATAGGGTTAGGGTTAGCATAGATTTGGGGATAGGGTTAGCATAGGGTTGGGGGTTAGGGTTAGTGTTAAGGTTAGGGGTTAGGGTTAGCATAGGGTTAGGGGATAGGGTTAGCATAGGGTTAGGGGTTAGGGTTAGGGATAGTGTTAGGGGTTAGGGGTTAGCATAGGGTTAGGGGTTAGGGTTAGTGTTAAGGTTAGGGGTTAGGGTGGTTAGTGTTAGGGGTTAGGGGTTAGCATAGGGTTAGGGGTTAGGGTTAGTGTTAAGGTTAGGGGTTAGGGTTAGCATAGGGTTAGGGGTTAGGGTTAGTGTTAAGGTTAGGGGTTAGGGTTAGCATAAGGTTAGGGGTTAGGGTTAAGTTAGGGGTTAGGGTCAGAGTTAGTGGTGAAGTTTAGGGTTGGGTTAGGGTTAAGTTAGAGTTAAGTTTAGGGTTAAGTTAGGGTTAGGGGTTGGGGTTTAGGTTAGGGTTAGTTTTTTGAACATCTTCTAGAAACAAACTGTAGGCCGTTGAGTAGTGTTAGCTTCTACGTCTACTTGTGCCGTACATACTCTTGTGTGATCCTACATCTAACAAAAAATATTGACTACAGAAAATATGCCTTTTTTTAAAAAAAAAGTAATTGTCCTCCAATTTACTTCAAGTACTTTGAAATGACTTTGTTGCCCTCTAATGTGAGGAGGTCTGACACACATGTAACGGGGAGTAGGTGATCAGGCGGTGTTAAGTGTGAAGTCTGACTGTGTCTAATCAGCACAGTTGGACACTAAAACTAAGTTTACATTTTGAAAAAGTGTAAAGGTTGAGATATTATGTTCAGAAAGAACATTTTTGAATGTTGTTTCTGGCCAATAACTGCCACTAAAATGAGCGTCCCGTTTCACCGACCAGAATTAAACCCATTCTCCCTGTCTGCATTTCCAACCCACAACAGGATATTATGTTCAGAGAGAACATTTTGAAATGTTGTTTCTGGCCAATAACGGCCACTAAAATGAGCGTTCCGTTTCCCTGTCTGCATTTCCAACCCACAACACCTCTGAGTTTAAGACTTCCACCTTTCCGGGGGAACTTTTCCCCTCCCCCGTACAGCACTGCTCTGGATTTAATCAACATTATTGTTCTTTTATGAAATAAACACACAAATAAGAACACTAAAAAAAAAAAAAAAAAATATTGCAGAACCTATTCAAGCAGCAAGGTAATAAATGCAATATGAATCTATTTACTGTCAACGGGCATTCTCCGCTTCAGGACAGAAGAAAATAATATCGTCTCAGAGGGAACGGTATGGAGAGCGTGTCCCCTTTTAACCCCGTACCTGTGCCGTCATCGGTTTATCAAACAGCC